GGACGTAGCAGGGTGCCGGCTGCATTTCTTAGGGTTAGACTTTCCGGAGAATGCATTTCCTGAAATAATATGTAGTGAACTGCTCAGTGGGTGTTGGACAATAAGGGGCCCTGGGCTCCATCGAGGACTAAGGAGTCATGACAGGCTGCAGAGGCAGACCCAGAAGGTATGATAGGAAAGGCCAAATCCTGGGCTTCACAAGCAGACCCCAGGGCACCTTTGTCGTGAAAATCAAACCTGAAAAGATCGTCCCTCTTTTTTTTCTTTGAATTTTATTTAATTTTTTATACAGCATGTTCTTATTAGTTATCTACTTTATACACATCAGGGTATACACGTCAATCCCAATCTCCCAGTTCATCCCACCACCACCACCCCTGCCACTTTCCCCCCTTTGTGTCCATACGTTTGTTCTCTACATCTGTGTCTCTATTTCTGCCCTGCAAACCGGTTCATCTGTACCATTTTTCTAGGTTCCACATATATGTGTTAATATATGATATTTGTTTTTCTCTTTCTGACTCTCTTTAAAATGCACGGCTGCACACTTTCCGATGCATAGCTGTGGGCTGGGTCTTGGGCTGTGTCCTCAGAGCTCAACACCTCCCCAGGTGCAGCTCTATTAGTAGGGGAGGGATGGAACCAACTTTGGTTCAGAGCCGACCTGGTCGCTGTGCTAGCAGCTTCGTGCATATTATTTCAGCCAAAAAAAACAGTGAGGACGGTCACATTGTTATGTTAGCATGATATAAGTGGGAAAACTGACACCCAACGACATGCGATAACTTGCCCCAAGTCCTACACTGAATAGAGGGGAGGATGGGATGGGGTTGAGTCTGTCTGTGCTGAAATCCATGCTCCTTCCACCTCACTCCCCACTCTCCCCTGTGAAGAAACAGGAGGATAATCTCTCAAGGCCCAAGCCGTGCACTGCGTGAGTTCACCTGTCACCCTGGGTCACAGCCAAACCCCAAGGAGAGGCTCGTGGGTTGAAGAAAGCGCTCTCAGCCAGTCCCCGCGTGAGGAAGGACGCGACTTTGGGCCTTAAAATCCCAACACGGGAGGCTTTTATGCTCTGCCTCTCCTCATATGACGTGAAGTTATTTGCCCAGAAAGTGATGCTGAGAGACCCTTTATAACCCTCTGTGACGAGTAGCCTGTGGCTCCCTCCGTGGATTCCTGAGGCTCTGTGTGTCTGCAGCCTTCACAGCGGCTGGTCAGAGTCTTCTTTGCAACGGCTCTTCTGTTTCTAGGGGGGTTGTTAGTGACCTCTTACGGTGTAGCCTCGCTTCCCCAAATCTTTCCTCCCAACCAGACTGAGAGTCCCTGACCTCAGGGCTCCGCCTCTGACACCCCACACCCTCCCGTGACTGATTGAAGGTGTCTCCCCGACGGCGCTCAGTGGGTCTTCCAGGGAAAAGACAGTTGTCCGCGAGCCTAAACCCCCAGACAAGTGAGTCTGGAGAGGGTCGAGGTCAGAACGGGCAGCTTCTGCGGCAGGAACAACCAGTCCTCAAATCTTGGGGCTCCTGACAATGAAGGTTCACCTCTCCCTCACTCTGTGTCCATCACAGCCCGCCGGGGACACTGCTCTGTGACCCTGAGGTTCAGGAAGCTTAGCCAGTGAGCAGGGCCATCCAGGCAGCACGTGCAAAGGCCATTCCTGAGTGGCTGGGAGGGGTGACCGCTGAGAACAGAGCCTGGGACAGGAGGCAGGGCCAGATCACCGGGGCGTGAGCACAGGGAAAACTGTCAGTGTAACGAATGTGGAATTGATCCTGAAACCTTGGAGCCTGTGAGAAGTACAAGCACAGAAATCAGCTCAGGCTGTGGTCTTCACGTGACTCTTCTATATAGATTCACAGGGAGGAGCTGGCCGTGTGGGCCCGGGACTTCACTACCCTCTCCACTTCTCTCTGGGTGTCTCCCAGTGAAACATTCTGTTTTCACTGCGATCCCTTCCAGCTCTGACTTCCCATGGTTGCAGACTCTACTCATACTTACCACCATACCTTCCACACACACACGTGCACACATGCACGCATACACGCACACACGCATATACACACACGTTGTTCTGATTTAACATTGTCTGTCTATAGCATGAGCTGGATTTCATCTGTGGCTAAGGAGGACCCCTGGCCTGAGGGGTCGCGGGTGGTCAGAAGTGGCACCCCTGCATCTCCATGCATGCCCTCCACGCTTTGGGGGCACCTGGCAAGATAGTGGTGCAGAATGACACTTGCTGAGCCCCTGAGAGACCATAACTGAAGCTGCCCTGAAGCTCTGCTAGCTTTGATGTACAGGGGTCTTCAGGTCCTTCACTAAGGACCCCTGGGAGGAGGCTTGTGTAGGCCTCAGCCCTGAGCTCAGAAACTAACGTCCGCCCCACGGTTCAGGTGACCACAGCCCCGCTCCAGGTGGCACTGGCCTGGTGAGACAGGGCCACACACGAAAGAGAAGGGATGTGGCAGACGGGAAAGCAAATCGGCACGCCACACCCAGAGGCAAGAGATGAGCTCCAGAATCCCAGGATAGTTCCTCTTGACCAACCAAAGCATCGGCCTTCCTGCGGCTCTGGGCCTGGGGGGTGGAGCTGCCTCGGAGCAAGGGTCATGATGACTCTGAGAGGCGGGGGTCCTCAGGGAAAGGCTCAGAGAGGAAAAGGCTCACATACACCCTTTCATCCAGGGATGACAGATTTAGCTCCAGGGCAGGAAAAGGAGCAAAGCCTGCAGGGATACAACAGTCTGCACCATCCTCCGGACACCTGAGCCACCCGGCCTCTGCCTCTGATTCCCATCTCCACATACGGGGACGTAAAGTCCCCGGCGACGAGGGAGTTGCAATGGCCAGGCACCCACACTGGTTTGTCCTTCTCCAGAAGCCAGGTAAGTAGGCTCAGCGTCCCTCGAAGGGGATGCACCCTAGGACACAGGAGGATCAGGGCCCGTGGCCGTTAGTTATCCCCCGTGTGTATCTTATGCTGAGCTCCAGTTTCCCATGTAGAGGGAACCTCAGGGTCAGGACCGCGGGTGGAGGGTGACAGAGCCAGACATGCGGTGTGCTGGGCAGCGTGGGTGGCTTCTGGGGCGAGTCTGCAGCCAGCGCACCTCAACAGGGGTGAGGGGAGCAGAGCAGTGGTAGGTAGTGTGGGGAGGAGATTGGGGACAGGGGGCGAGGCAGAAGCGCCAGGCCAGGCTGCAGAAGTGTCTCCAGCTGGGAAGCAGGCACTGTTGGATTAGGACACTAAGAGGGGACACTCTTTCTGACCACCCACTGCCCCCTCCCATCCTCGCTGCAGCTCCATCCTCCCAAGGAACATGCAAGCAAACAGATTCTACTGTGCTTTGGCCTCTGCAGACGAGCAAATGTGTGGGAGAGACTATGCTGGGGACAGAACAGGCCCTGGGATAACACTCCATAGAACAAAGGGGTCCCCCAGACTGTGAGCCCAGGAGCCGCAGCCCAGCATGGTCAGAATGGAGAGGAATGGCCTGGAAGTGGCCCCTGACAGTCAAGGAGCCTAAGGTCCAATGGCTGAGTATCTGCTCTGGGTCTGGAGCCAGGACAGAGGGAGCGCCAGTCCTGCCCGGGATATTCTTCTGTCCCCAGTTTTAACATTTCACTTTGAGGCTCAGAAAAGGGCTAATAAAACTCCTCTGGCTTCAGGTTGAAATACTAGAAGTAGTCCGGAAGGATTTAGCAACATCAGAGCAAGAAATACAAGCCGAAGCCTGGCTTAAAAGGCTATGAAAATCTGGGGGCAGAGCTATTGAGCTGAAATGCTCTGTCCGCAGGCATGGAGCTGACTTCTTATCTCCCAGGCTCGGAAGCAGGACCCCCATCCTGGGAGCTGGGCCGCGGGGGCTCACCGTCCCCACCAGAGTCCCCGTTACATCGCAGCATTTCTCTGAGGTCTCCCGGGTCCCTCCCCACAGAGGAGTGTGGATATGTCCACTGGGGCCTGGGGTATGGAGGGTCTTCCTGCCCCTGAAACACGAGTTCCATGGGGGACAGTCACCCCATCCAACACCCTCTCAGCTCTGCCAAGCAGCAGGGGCTTGGCCTTCAGGAGCCCAACGGAATCAGCTAGTGGAGGATAATAAAATGGTAACAACCGCTACTTACATAAGACAATGAAGTTTTATCAGGTCATTGTGCTTTGTAAAATGTCGTTTTTAAAGTTTCTTCGATATACAAATATCCTCCCCACTTAGCTGCTGGAAAGATTGGAGAAGGGTTTGTCTTAACTAACTGATATGAGCTGATTTGTAACAGAGCGGCATCAATGCAACGTGCGAAAGACAGTCATGTGAGCAGTAAAATGGAACTCGGCAAACTTCATGCTTTCTGGCTGGTTGTATCTTGGGACTTCATGTGTAAATATCTGACCCCCACGTCCACAAATCTCCCAACTCCTATTATAGATGGGCTCACTTTGGCTCCTGGTGTGTTCAGGACCTTAAGAGCCCGTTAGAAAACAGTTACCGAAAGTGGCACCTACTTTCTACTTCTGATTCAGGTGAGGTCAGGGAAAGTACTAGAAAGCCTCACAGGGAACAGACCTCCAAAAGATGTAACCTGGACAGTAAGATTACGAAAATGGGACAACAGGGGTGAGGTGAATGTCTGAACTGTGGGCCACTGATTTTTACTTCCCTCTGGGTCAGGGACTTTAAGCAAAGGTAATTTTCAATAAGTGAAATGCCGGTAAGTGTCACAGATGTCATAGGTTCGCGATTTTACGATGGAAAGTCATTTAGTCCATCCCAACCTGCCTCCCATAACCATAAAGCCGCTGTCCTTCATGCATCATCATTTTATAGTACGTTTTCATAATTTTTGCCAATCTAGAGAAATGGCAAAGTACTGAAAATGCCCCTTTTTAACGACATTTACGTGTCCCCCTTTTATGCAAAGCTTGCACTGCCTTAGGGAGAAGCTGCAGAATTCCCATCAAGGTTAGCAGCTTACCAGTCAGTGCTCATTGGGGCATGCCTTTCCTAGAGCCTGTGCACAGACCTGGCCAGCTCTCGGGTCAGCTGCAGCCCCTGGGGCGCCCTTGTGAAACTCTCTTGGCATCTGCTCAGGGGACAGCGACGGTCCCTTCTTGCATTTCCTTAGGAAGCATCTCAGCTTTTGGAAGGCAGCCCAGGCTTTCAGGGGATCCACAGTCGTAAAGGACACACCACTTCCTGAGTTCTGTCTGATCTGCTGTTTCCAGAAGCCTGAGTCATTCCAGAGGCAGATGGGTGGTTCCCAATTAACTGATGATTACGCACTTCACACTGAGGACGTCCTTCAGGCCATATCTATATGCTTCTCCCTGAAATAAAACATTTAAGGAGCCTGAAGAAACAGAACGAAACAGGAAAGAGGAACACTCCCAGCAGCCCCTCCAGACAGCACAGCCCACGGATCTCCTGGCTTTACTGTACCCTCCCCAGTCGGAGGGAAGCCAAGCCGTCCCAGGCAGCAGGCTGGGGACAGTCCCACTTGCGTGGCTCCCAAGGAAAGCAAGCTTAGCCTCACCCTTAAAGACACTCATGCACTGGTTGTAAAATAGACAGTGGGACCATCTGGCGTGCAGCGTGGCCGCAAGATTCCCCTCCAAAGGGCTCTGCTAGCGCTCAGACGTCAGTAACCAGGATGATAGGGGCCAATCAGACAGATAAATCTGAATGAAAGCCGTTCATCATGTGGCATCATGAGCAGGACCTGTTCCAGCTCAAGAAAAATGCGGAGGGACCAAGACATTGCTTATCAACCCAGCCTGCAACGCAATTTAGTTTTACTTGATAAAATCACAACATTGTAGGAGAATTCACTAAATTAATTCTATTTGGCAGGCATTTGGGGGTCACAGTGAAATGAAGCATATTTCCAGAAAAGACAAAATCAATTATCCTTTCCAAACTGCTGTTTGTTTTAAAGTTTGTGCAAATGTAAAGGCCTCGAGGAAGAGAATTCCACGGGAGTTTCACTTGGGGGGCAGCTCCTTCTAAGCTTGTGTTTGCAGACAACCAAGATACTGACTTGACTTCTGAACATGCTGGAATATCATTTGTCTTTAATTCATCAACTCTAGGTTGAGCCCTGCAGGGCGTTTGCTGGCCTCAGTGGGGCAGGATGAGCATGCTTCCAACCTGGGGTCTTGGGGGAGATGAGGGACCAGCCAACCCTCAGGGTGGGCCTCAATGTGATGGCAGTGCCACAGAGACAACTCACGCACGGCTCTGTGTCCCCTGACCCTAACCCACAGGAGACATCCCACAGCCGTGTCTCTCAAAGTCCTGGCTTCTGCACTGTCCCACTGTCTGTCTCCTGACCCAGACACCTCTCCTCCCTCTTATGCCCTGGTGCCCCTTCACCCCTGCCTGCTCAGCGGCCCCTGCCGTCATCCCCTCACACGCAAGGGGCTCAGCCTTCTGCTCCTGGCACCGAAAGCCACACGATTAGTCCCCCCAAGCAGGTCTTCCAAAGACGCCGTGCTGGCTTTGGGTCACAAGGCTCTGCCCACACCTTTGGTCCTCAAACTGCTGCCCGTGGAACACAGCAGCAGCATCACTGGCTGTTTCCATGGCAATTTCTGGGTCATTCTGGCCTGCACCTCCAGCATCGGGCACCCAGATACCTAGCAGGTCAACACAGTGCTTGTACGTCCTCACCAAAACAGCAAAGGCAGGGACTCAGGCCATAGCTGTGTGGTACTGGGTCAACAAAGCCCTTTGCTTGAAGCATCACCTTTTTAGCAATGCCTTGGACATGTCAATGCTCCCCAGCTCAGGGATGGCCCTCAGTGCATCTACTCACCCTAAGGGTCACCACCCTTTCCTGGCAGGGATGAACCAACCGGCTGCATAAGCACCAGCCCCGTTTGCAGGGTCGCTGAGCACAGAAGAAAATGTAAGAGTCCCATCCACGGATTCTGACAAGTGGCCACTGACTATTTTCCTAAAGTCAGAGCAGCTTTTCCCCAAAGGAATCAAATTTCCAGAAAAGCTAAGAATGGAAAGTCGGGAAAGAGTGAATAAATACAAGCTGGGTGTCAACCTGCAGGCCCTTAGAGTTCACCATCTGCCCAAAGGGGGGCACGGCTGGGTGAGCTCTTCTAAGATGTGGACCCTGACGTCCTCCTATGGGCTCCATCCCAAGACTAAAAGCCTGGAGCATATTAGCTTATCATGACGTAGCATCCCTGTAATCCTGGATCATTTACAAAGCCTGGCCCCGCCTGTGGCACCCTAATCAGAGCCCAGCACGGAGTTGTCTTTGAACAGCTTGCTGTCTGAAGCAGGGGTCAGCGGCCAGAGCCCTGCAGCTCCATGCTGTCTGCAACCCCGCAGAAGCAGCGGCCCTGGGAGCTTCACCGGACCCCACCCAGACCCCCTGAGGCAAAATCTGCGTCTTATTGGGACCTGCGGGCACAGTAAATTAGAGAAGCGCTGAGGCAGAGCCGCTTCTCAGCCTCGACTGCACGTCACCAGGCAGTTTCTGAAGCCCCATCTAGCCAGGACATCCCGGTGGGACAGTCAGGGCACAGCCCCGTGTGGCCAGAAGCTGTGATTCTGCTGGGCCTCCAAGTGGGGGGATCACTGCAGAAGCATGTGTCTGAATTGCCCACCTGAAACCCGGTGAAATGAGAATTTACAGGCGTGGGTGGTCCGTGGTCCTTAGAACACACTTTGAGAAACACGGTCTGTTGGGTGAGTGAAGATGTGCGAAAATCGTCAGATAGTTCTTTGTTCCTTTATCTATTCTCAGCTCACTCCTGAGGCGCCGTCGTAGCCGACGGCGGGAAGGAAGAGACACAAAACAACCAATTGTGACGCTTCCAACGGTGAATGTGTCTGAGATAGATTCTGCTTCCTTAGAGCTGATTCCTCACCATCCAGGGCTGCTCCGAGGCGTGGGGTCACAGTGAGGGGGTCGCTCCCAGGCACGGGGGCCATGGTAGGAGTTCACTCCCAGGCACAGGGTCCAGGTGGGGCTTCCGTGTTCCTCCTGAGCACCAGGGCAGGGCTGGTTTATGTCCACTCGGGCCTCACCATCCATTCAGACCGTGCTCTCGTCTCTCCTGGGTCACGGTGCTTTCCTATTTGCAGCTCTACTGGCACAATGGGCAGGCCTCAGCAGCGCCTCTTTCCCCAGACTCGCCCCGTGTGTACTCGCCAGCGCATCCGGCAGCCTCTCCTCCCGCTGCCTGGCGCCACCAGCTCCCAACTCTTTGCACCTTTGCCAGGCGAGGGCCGAGAAGCAGAGCTCGCAAGGCCCTTGCGCTACGGGCATAGGAAATACGCAGTCGGCCCTTGACCAGCTCAGCTCTTTCTAAACCGGTCTCTGCTGTGCCTTCGTGGCCCAGGGACTTCTCCGAAGGGCTCCTGGTGTCCCAGGCCAGACCCTGAGAAGGGAGGCGCCAGCCTCCAGGCCCACCCGCTGTGCCACCTGCTGCTGCCTCACCACCTCTGGGAATCTGAACATGGAGAAGAAGCCCAATCTCCAACCTCCAGCCTCCAGCCTCCTCCCTCACCTTCCTCCCTCTCCTCCAGCCTCCACTGCCTGTGGGAAAGGAGGTTATTCCCCAGGCCGGCCATACGTTAAAATTAGCTGAATAGGTTTTTAAACTACCAGGCACCCTGGCCTCACCCTAGAGATAGATTTAATTGACCCGGAGGAAGGTGGGTGGGGTGATTTAAAGCCGGGTTGACATTTTGATGCGCAGCCACAGGTTGAGAAGCAGCTTAAGTCCTGCCCTGAGGTCCCTTTCCTCTTTTTTCCAGCAAACCTCTGTGCCCTGGGGCTCCCAGGCGGGCTTGCCTTTTGATGGGAACTGGAGTTGTCTGGAATTGGAAATCCTTTGTGAAGCCTCACTCCTGACAACTATCGCTGAAAATTGTTTTAGAAACCTAGAAACAGCTTTGTCTGCAGGTGTCTACCTTTTACTCTGAATGAGGAACCCTATTGGTCCCCTGGTGGCACCCCAGAATTTATTAAAGGGAATGAAAATTCACCGTTTTGGGGAGGCTCTCAAGAAGGAGTAGATTAGAGACAGAACTAAGTGCATCTCTTACTCGCTCTGCTCACCGCACGACAGGCCAATGAACCGGGAGGCGAGGCGCTGAGACAAGGAGGACGACTTTATTCGGAAAGCCGGCAATGAACCGGGAGGCGAGGCGCTGAGACAAGGAGGACGACTTTATTCGGAAAGCCGGCCGACGGGGAAGACGGCAGACTAGTGTCTCTGAAAAACCATCTTATGAGATTTGGATGCCAGTTTCTTTTATAGCACAGAGAGGGGGAGGAGATGAGGAAGTAAAGGAAAAAGGCCATAAGATTTGCAAATGTGCCCTGGAACGGCCAGCCTCGGGGAAGGGGTGTGTTAATTTCTTCTTTCTTGTAGCCATCCGCAGGTGGACAGGGTCAGGAGGCACAAAGGCGCTTGGGTTTAACGTTCAGGCAGAGGGGCGGGGTTCCCCGAGGCAGGCCATTATGTATGATTATAATAACAAAGGCAACGGAAAGCAAAGGTTAAAGTTAAAGAAACAGATCCAACATGGGGTCAGACTTGGCTCTTCCCTGTTACACATCCACGTTCAGTTTGGGGAGGCCCTGAAGAATCCCCATGGGTGAGGGCGGGGGAGCAGCGTGGGGACCGCCTGTCGTGTGGGCGCCACTCTGGTCCTGGGGGCAGCGGTGGACGAGACTGGGGCTGGTCCAGCTAAGGGAAGCCCTAGGCAGTACAGTGTGAGTAGGAGGCTCACTGCCGGCAGAGTAAGTGCAGCGAAGAGGCTGATGAGAAGCTTGTGTGTCTGCAGGGGCTGGAGGGGCTCTGCTAGGCTGGGGTGAGGAAGACCCCTTCGAGTGGATGGTACACATTCATCCCCCCTCACTGGCCGGGACCCCTGCCGACTCCCCCCACCCCGGGGACTCCCTTGCCCCACCCCGACTACTGACTGGGGCCCCCGGGCTGACCTGAACTTCTTTTTTTTTTTGCGGTACGCAGGCCTCTCACTGTTGTGGCCTCTCCCGTTGCGGAGCACAGGCTCCGGACGCGCAGGCTCAGCGGCCATGGCTCACGGGCCCAGCCGCTCCGCGGCATGTGGGATCTTCCTGGACCGGGGCACGAACCCGCGTCCCCTGCATCGGCAGGCGGACTCTCAACCACTGCGCCACCAGGGAAGCCCTGACCTGAACTTCTCATTTGACTGGACTGTCACTGACCGGGACCCCGTCGTTGGCTGGGATCCCCGGCTTACTGGTCAGTGCCCCAAAAGAGAACAGAGAGCAAGGGTGTGCAGGCTTATCTCCAGCCCTCCTTCCTGCCGG